GGAAGCGTTTGTAGACTGTGTTGAAAGAAAGTTTGTGACGTCTGCAGTTATTACGACCTTATGTACGTTTTTCTTTTCTTCTGGGTTCGACATTAGTGTTCGTACACTTACGACATGGTGGTAAATATTCACACTACACCGATGCTACACATCTTAAAATTTCGCTTGATTAGATCCAGTAGGAAAGGAGTTACGACTGGAAATTATAACGGAAGAAGCATTTCGCTGAATACTTTTGAGCGCTACTGTATATCTTGACAACTGCTACTTCACTACCAGTGTAGTTTTACAATAACGATAAAGAGTAATCCGGATTCGGCCTTGAAAACTACGACGATGGCAGGTGTCCGTCAGGAGTGGAATATTTGCCAACATTTCTGATGCTGGTTTATGTGAAATTCAATATTCCTGTTAAGTCCTGCCTTATACAGAGTGTTTTATAGACAAATTAAAAAATAAAGACGGTCCCAGCACACCAGGGAGACGAAGCATAGGGATCAGATCTAAACATCACTCGCATGGCCAAGGAACTACATAGGCTCCGCCTTCATCATTAAAACCTTGTAGTCCTCCCAAGCCTTTATACTACAATACATAGTGCCAAGCCAGGATAGATGTAGAGCACAAATCGGAACATTTGTATAAACAACCACGTGTTTACTTATCAGCAGATTCTATGTATGTGACGTATTAAAAGAGGATTGAGTATTGCCAATCAGATAATGACCTTGCAATTTTGTTTTTCTACTTGGTTCTTTGAAAGAGAGTGGCGTCGTGTTCATTAGAAGTATTCTTCAAAAAATTCAGTATTTGATAAACTCATGAATTTAGGGGAGTAAACATTATGGCAACTGTATTGTTGGTTTGTTGTTTTACTAACTCTTCACGAGGTTTGTAAACAAGCGTTATTAGGCTGACGTTGTTTTTTTTNTTTTTTTTATGGCAACTCTATAATGCTTCAAATAAAGACATTCGTACCGGGTTCATTTCTTTCTTGAAACAACTCCGTTCGTATCCGATCCATTTTTTCAAACAATCGGTTAGGATATCTGGCTGAATGAACAAAATATCCGAAAAGCCGCAATAAAAGAAGTTGAATCCCAGCTTTATACCAGCCCTAGTCGAACCAAGCCTTCCACACCCCCTCCCCCTTGGTACCAGACTCGTCCGGGGGAATACAGAAGCACTGACCTATAGATCGGCTGGTCGGTACTGCAGGCTGTTTACACATCACATATGCATTCATACCACTTCTACGATTCTGATTGGAAGTAGAATGTGCTAACCATACAGAAACGAGCTTGATCAGCCTCGGAGAATTCCATCATTTGACAAAAGTCTTGTGCCGTTTCATCTGTAGGTAAGGTTCTTGCAATTCTTCACAAATGGGCACTCCTCATATGATTGTAGACACAATTTCAGTACAGTCAGGAATAGTCAAACATTAAAAACTGTTTATACAACAAGCATATTGAGTGAAATACAAGTCCAAAATGAAGGGTTGTACGAGAGCGTGGCGCCCTATCTTGACCGTTTTCGACTCGACATCGTCCCTTGTGTTATCCTTCGGTTCCAGAGCGGATTCTCAGAAACATTTTCATTATGAATTGTGCCTTTGAATATGATGTAAAACGATAACTGTCGAATTAAATTGTGTCAAAACATAACATTACTTCATGCATAAGTGAGTACAGCTGTTTTTGAATACCTCTGCAGTTGTTTGCTCAGGCACAATTTCTTTCTGCAAGATGTTGCAATACATGTTTTGTAATTTCACAGAATACTAGTTATAATTACAGCCTGCCTCCCTAATATTTACAGAAAAGGAGAGATGGCGTCACAACATTTCAGAGACCTCTCCACACATAATTGAATAGCTACCGTAGACTCTAATTAGTACCATATCAAAGCACGAAACATTTCTGCATTTGGACGACTTCGAGCTAGTAGCCAAAGATGAGGTAGCGATACCTTCTCGTGATAGTGAATGAACCCAGCTCTTTTCTCATGAGTGTTAGATTCCAATAGTCGTTTGGGCGACTACATATTCTTTCAATAAAACGGATCTTTTTACTGCATCTCAATGACTGTTTTTTGCTTCCCCTTTTGACAGCACATGAATCTCAGGGTCTTCTGACCCAAATAGACAATCAGAGGAGCATAATTACAGAGAATCATAAAACAAATTTTTCGGTCTAGTAAATCAGCCTAATGGCAATATTTAGAGATCACGGAACCTACCCGGAACTCATCATTGTCTTTCTCTACAAGGTGCATAGGTCTGCAGAGATCCCATACGGAAATCAGTTAGGAACTACTCTCCATACCTTAAAAGAACTGGTTACCGTACGGTAAGCCACTTCCGTGAGTGTGTGTTATCGAACTGCAGATTTTGCCATACCTAGAGGAGCAAACCTGCCACCCGCCGGATAAACCATGGGTATTTGATCAAAGTGGGGTTAGATATGAGGCCTGTTCGATGCCTTTTCGTTGTTCGCCGCCGGTATGTGTAGCAAGGCGATGTGATTTATCTATAGTCAGAAACTCACGTATTAGCTATTAGCAAACAAAGAAGCTTTCTGTCGGCATTCCTAGTGCGGACGCCGATATAGGGTTGATCCCTGTTCTGGTTCTGGAGTTCGGAGTGTCGATTGGGAAATGACCCGTGCTGTGTGCCCGAGATAATTCTTATTTGGCTTGATTCAAGCAGTGGAGTGGGAGTTAAAAATACAGTGCCGAAAACATAGCTCTTTTTTTCCGAAATCGCAAATTTGATTATGTTGCTAGCAGAGCCTTCTGACCTTATTGGCCATACCATCGCCGTAGTGATCAGTTCTTATCTCTTCACGTGAAATTGAATATTATGATGTTCGGAAGCAAATAAACTCCCTTTCCAACTCGCTGTCGAGATCCTCTCCGTAGTTTATCCAGACATGCCCAGATTTTTGAGCACGATAACATTTACATGTACAGGGAACACCATAAGAAGTAAGTTTTTCGACAGGGTATTGAGTACAGAGGCTCCGCAGAGATGTTCTCTTTCTTGGGACTCCGTTCCAGGGTCGACCCGTTTTGAGGCACTCGTTCTATCCAATAGTAAATATGCGACCGACAAATGTAGATGAGAAAATTTCTTCATTTAGTTTTCCGTAGGCTCAACAAATTTGCATAGAAGTGGCACTAAAAGAGCATGAGGTCAGGCAAAGTTTTGGGAAAATCATTGACAGAGTACGCATACAGCTCTACAATACCACTTTTGACTCATTGACTAATTCATACTATTGGAAATCCAGTGCAGTGTATATCGGGATGGCGGAAGAGGGATAGAGTCTCCTACTTTGACCTATTCTGTTTTGTCGGGCGTAGCCTGCTTCGAATTCCATTCGGGATCGACTGGCGTAAATGACCTGGACACTTAGTCATGCCGATATACATGGTTTGTGCTTAATCAACCCAGACGAGTTTGGTATCAACTTACCCATTCCAGAGAGATGGGAGGCTCAGCTGTCCTGCGTGGTACCGATTCGGCCCTCACACTGTGCGTGTGATAGTGCACTATTTGCCACCACATTGCTTCAGCCTGTCAGAATACATAGAAAGAACTTTTTAAAGATAGTTATGCATCATTTTGATGATGATTTCAATAG